TCCTTAACGTCTTCAGTCCTAAGAACACTAAACTGTAACTTTTAATAAGGTCATGTACACAGTATACTACTATTTATGAAAACGTTTGACCTGTAAGCAGAAAACTTATGGATGTTGTTTGTTGATTTTTGTTCTTTATTTCAAAGAAAAGGATGAGGAGAACTAGGTTTTACTCAAGCAGCTCCTGAAACTGTCAACCCGCTGACTGAGAACATTTGTATACAGTAAACTTTGTGTACAGGACAATATAGCCTACTTTTTAAATTACATTTTTCTTGAGATTTTTTTGGACAACCAAGATGTTTTGCGGACAACCAGATTTTGTCAACAGGTTGTCCATGTCTACCCCTGRAAAGTGTTCAGTCATTTTTTCGGGATGTGCCCCAGGCTGCATTGGAGGTGCTACAGTTGGCTGCTGCTGCTTTTTTCTCTTAACAGTACAGACAGAATTTTGTCTTAACAGAGTGATGTAAACCTGGAGGTGATGGAAAGGTTTGWAGAATGTCTTTCACAAGAAATGATAATAAATATTTGTCTCACTGCAAACTGAGGTCTCTTCTAAGAACTATCTACAACAAGTCAGAACAACTTCATGAACTTTCTGTAGAACCTCACTTCAAATAATCTCATCTAACCTTTTTAAATTTTGGCGTTTTATTTTTCCACATACTGACTCTGTATTCTCTTCCTCTGCACAGGAGCGTTCAGCCGCAGGCCGACATCATGCAGAAGGAGGCGATGAGGGTCGACCTAATGAACGCACTCAAACGCAAACAAAACAACTAGATGCTCATGTTTCTTCTGGTCTTTCACTCTCTCCGCCTCACTTGCCATCTTTGGTTTCTTTATGTCTCTCCCTCCATGCCTGTTTCAGTGCTGCACCTGTTTATTTGTCGAAAACAAAAAGGAGAAAATGCTTAGCTTTTGTTACTTTCCCGTCTTTGTTTTTTGTTTTGTTTTTTTGTTTTTGTTTCCATGAAGCCATTCAGTCACACTCTTCTGTGTTAATAATATGATGGTATTACCTCGGTTAATGATAATCTTACAGTGTAGTTATATAATCCCCGATGCATTCTCAGCGACTGCGGCCCCGCTCCGCCCCGGTGTCGAGGACTTGGACTGCGCCGTTGGTTGCTGTGGGCTATGACAGCGGTGCCATCAGATTTATATTTTGCACCCGTTTGGTCTCTGACAGCTGTCTGATTATATTTGTATAGACTTCTAACTGTCCACGTTCCACTGTCAGCCTTCCAGGTGATGTGAACATGAGGGCGGCCTTTTCTTTGTGCACAACCATGTTTTTTTTTACACTTTATTTCACTCTGTCTGCATGTCTGTGAGCTGTGTGGGAGCATGGGGATGGACTGTTATCACCCTGCCACAATGCCCCACCCCCACCTCCAACATAAACAGAGTATTAAAAAAAACATGACGGTTGCTTCCCCTTCTCTTCAGCTCCTCTCTCTACTGTCTTTGGGGGGTACTTGTTTTTGTTGTCTCAGTTGAAACATTTTAGTTGTTTCCATTTTAGAGGGGAAACATTTGTTTGGATTTTTTGTTTTGTAAAAGCTTATAATTCACATTGTATTAGAGCCTGCAGCAACAATAAAAACTGTAAAAAGCTGCACTTCGCCTGTTTCTTCTTACGGATGTGACGCCCTGACTTGACGTAGCCAAAATTAAGCACAAACTGCTGCAACAAACTCTTAGAAACTTAATAGAAATGTTTACGTTCATAACATTTTAATTCATGTTGTGCTCTAACGTTACTGAAAACATAACCTACATTACTGAAGTAATAAAGTAATTAAACTTTCCATTTTTGTGCACATCACTTTGGTATTTTTGATGTAATAAATGTGACTTCAAGTGAAGTTAGCTGTTTGTGCTGCTGATTGTTGGGATTTTCCACACTCCAATATAAAAATACATCAATCTGAAAAGCTAAAGTGAGCTGCCAGGAGTTGTGTTCATAGATCTTATATAAAGGCTGATTGTGTCTGTTGTGTTGCTGCAGATTGTCCACCAGGTGGCAGTGTCGTATAGAATTAAAATAGATAAATCTTGGAATCATAGTTGTTGTTTTTTCCACCACAAACGTTGCTTTTTGTTTGGAAATGCATCTTTTTTTAAAAAAAATTCCTGCTATCTATATATTTGCATGTCCACTCAATATATTAACATGTTTTGGATAACCTCTGACCTCAGATACTGACAGTATGTTGTGTTTCTGTTTCCTCAGAAATTTTAGTTCAAGTCTTTTGAACACTCAGTCTTGGCTCAGTTAACTGTTGTGCTGAATGACCAGGCTAACAGCCTGTACTAACATATAAGTTAGTATTTTATCTGAACTGCAAGCATTCAAGGCCCTCTCCAACTATAACGTTTTAGACAACGTATGCCAACTTGTGAAAAATTTAAAGACATCTATGTTGGAGATGGAAGTGAAAAAAATCGACTGGAAGCATCTTTTACAGGTGTGCATACTGTAATTCTAACAAATTGATCATTAAATATACAACTTTTAGCAGCTGGCACTAAAAATGTTTCATGAGTTGAGACTTAGATAAAAACCAATCCCATGTCAAGAAAAGAGAGACAGGGGAAAAAAGATGTGGAACAGGCAGCACTCTGCRCTCCTGGTGAAACCAGCAGCAGCTATAGGGGCTGAGGAGAAGGAAGATGAAGGACAGAGTCAACAAAGTGAAAGAACAAACTGCCTGTAATCCTTTCAACCCCAAATTAGTTTTGGTTTTATCTTTTTATGATAATATTTAATAAAAACAGTTAAATTTGGAGTCTAAATTAAATGAGCCTAAATCACCACCTCTGGAAATGTCATTTTATCATGGTGGAGTTGTGGTCAGTTGTAAAGTAACAAAGTAAAAATACTTTGTTTCTGTACTTAAGTATAAATTTTCAATTCAATTCATTTTATTTATATAGCACCAAGTCACAACATACATTGTCTCAGGAATTTTGCTTATCTGTACTTTACTTGAGTAATTATTTTTCAGTCAACTTTTTACTTCTGCTAACGTTTTCCCACAGTATCTGTACTTTTCACTCCTTACATTTTTTTTAAAAAAAGGGGTAAGAATAAAGATCTATCTCATTTTGTCTTGTTATTGTAAAAAAATATCCAGATGAATTGTGCTCCCTGGATAGTGTATATTTAACWGTGGTTGGATGAGAAATACAAATATTTATATACAATTCTGACACCATGGTTTGCACTCGATCCATCACACCTGTATGACACAAATCATGTCACACAATCCATATTGTAGCCACTAACTTTTACTCAATACTTTAACTTTTAATACTTAAGTACGTTTTATGTCAGAAATTACTTTTGATACTTAAGTACAATATAAGATTCTTTAAAACTTTTACTCAAGTAATATTCTTAGAGGAGACTTTTAACTTTAAACAAAGTAATTTTATAGTAAGATACTTGTACTTTTACTTAAGTGTCTCTTGCAACACTGCCCCTTGTGTCTCCAGGTGACAGGCCAGACAGAGAACAACTCAAAATACTTGTAAAACATGAAGGACAGGGGTGCCACCGGGGGGTCATGGTACCCCCTGAACATTTGTCCCCCCCCCCCCCCCCCGAGTTTAATTTTCAGTTTAGTTTAGTTTAGTTTATTCATTTCTTTAAAAACAACAACATAAATTCAACAACAAAATACAAACCATAAGTGAAAGGTAGCAGCAGAAGAAAAAATCTTATATCTGCTCCTTTTTCTCAAATAATTAATCAAACAATTAATCYTCTTGAGTACCCAGGAACAGAGCCCCTTCAGAGTTTAAAACATAAATATATATTTTGTTTCTCAAATAAAGATGGAGGTTCTCAGGAGGCTATATAGATAGATGTTTTAATTAAATATGTAATTAATTAAATATATAACTAATAAATAATTAAAATAATTATATAAGAAATACAGCATTAGGCAGTAAAGTGGCAGTAACTTCTGAAGAAGACGTTTCTGGMTTGTGTTTACATGGTCTGTCTGTGCATGAGTGGGTTTTCTCCAGGTACTCTGTTTCTTCTCACAGACCAAAATCAACTAATACGTCATGAATAATCAAATTAAAAATATCTTATGGTAATACTACAGTGGATGTAGTTTGTATTTGTTCTTGTTTTAGTCTTTTTTTAGTTTTGGGTATTTAAACTTACAGTAAACATCAACAAGCAAATCAGACTGTTTTGAAAAGGTGGTGGCTTTAAAACTGAGAAAGCTTGTTCCTTGTAAATGCTTGTAAAAGGAAAAATAGCTCATAGGCATCACGGTAATAATTTGTGAAGGGAAGGTGTCCCCCTCACATATAAAATCGAATTTTTTGGACCCCACCCCACTCCACACAACACACACACACACACCATAACATATTAACTGCCATAAAAATTAGTTCACCTACTGCTCTATCTATCTCTTAACAAATACATTCCACTTGAGAGAATACTCACATCAGGTGTTTACTTATTTAGGTAAAAATATGTTTAACAACCTGTTAAAATACACCAGAATTCAGGAAATGGCAGCTTTACTTTATTCAAATTTTTCGGGGGGAGAAACTCATGAATAATGTTTACATAATCAGCCTCCACTGTTGGATTTTTATTTGTCGATGTCTACAACAATGATGGCTGCACGCTGATCCCTCTTGTTGTCATATTATCTCTATGTATAGATCATGGTCACTAACTGGAAGCCCCAATTAAGTGAATCAGTTTTAGCCATAACTCAAAACTCTGTGATGGCACTGGCAGCTAAGACTCATCTTAGTTTGAAAATCTCTTGGCATTAAAGTCCACATTGCTAATATTCATTSTTTGACGGAAAGTAATTTAATTAAAGGTTGTTTTGTTCTCTCACTCTGTTTTTCCCCTAAATGACACAAAATAAATAACTAAATACTTTTTGTGAAGTGAACTCATTAATCAGAGTCTGAAGTCCTTCTGTTGTTTTGTGTTAATGAAGCTTTGAAAAATTATCATTTATCCAGTCTCTCTCTCTCTCTCTCTCTCTCTCTCTCTCTCTCTCTCTCTCTCTC